GCCTGAGCAGGGAGCTGAACTAGGAATTGAAGTCCACGAGACATGAGGGGGGCATAGTTACCTCATGCTGGCTCAGGAATTCTGGGAGTTGAAGTCCACGAGTCATAAAAGGGCCAAGTTTGAAGAGCCCTATTCTATCTAGTGCAGGGGTAGGCAATCTTGGCTCTTTTATGACTTGTGGACTTCAACTCCCAGAATTCCTGAGCCAGCCATGCTGAGGGAAAAGAGAGGTTTCCAAGCTGAGCCATGCTGGTTCAGGAATTCTGGGAGTTGAAGTCCACGAGTCATAAGAGAGCCGAGGTTGCCTACCCTTGACCATGGGGATGCTGAAATAGAAGTGCAAGAATTAGTCATAAGTCAGTATTTCCAGTGATATAACTTTGAATGGTCGCTAAACAAACAGTTATAAGCCGAGGACTACCTGTACTGAAATATCCTGAATTGATGTATGAGAAATTCTGAACCAGCCACCTTCTCATAAGGAATACAGAGAAGGGGGAACCCCAGCTCCTTCTCTAAGTGGGGTGCGTAAAACCTGTTCAAATGTTGAAATAAAGACTTTTTTCACCCTTGCCCAGTTGCAGAACTACAGACAGCTCCTGCTAGCTTGAGATGGATAGGCTTTATTATGCGAATGCAGAGATAAAATGCATTTTTCATTGGGTTTTGTTAGTCCAGCTAGGTCCTATCTCTCTGCCTATTTATATTTTCCTCTCCCATTTTAAAAATTTTAAAAATTTTATACAATATATATCCCAAATCCCTCCCCCCCTCCCCCACTTCCCAAAGCTGATTGCAGGGTTTAAAATAAACAATCATAATCTATCTAACATTATCCAACTATCTTAGCAATCAAATCCATAACATACTTTAACTCCCTTTCAAAATAAATATTAACAAATTAAGAACAAAAATAATAATATAATTAAACCATAATACTAAAAATAATATAAATTCAACCATATTAAACTATTAATAATAATCTAAAATTTACTCATAAGCTAAATAATACTTTTCAGTCTCATATTTATTCTGAATATAATCAATCCATCTTCTCCAAACCGAAATATATTTTTCTTGTGAATCCTCTCCCATTTTTTAATAAAGGCTGCCTTTGCACGATAGATTTCACAATGGCTCCAGAGAAGCTGGCAAAAATGAATGTTTTTTTCTGAATGCATTTATTCCAGAGCGCATGAAACAAATTTAAGTCAGGTCCCTGGTCTGCCTGTCCGTTGCAACGCAGAGACTCATCTTTCTTTGTCTGGATCAATGACCAGATATTTTTCCTTCAAGGAAGCAAGCTAGTGAAGCTCTGGGGAAGATATTTCCCTTTTTTGACCTGTATTACAAAGGTCAACCATGTGAATCTTGACGTTCTAAAAATCATATTAGTGGAACCGATTGATTCAAGGACGGGTAATCCCCCAGGAATGCTTTTTGAAAAACTCTAGTACATTTCTGATAGAGCTTTGAAGATCTACAAGATGTTGAATTCTGGCCCTCAAAAGAGTCTTGTGGTCCGCGATTTGAAGACTGGCATGAGCAAACACTTTCAAACTTACATTTCCATGGTGGAGAACGCTTCCTTATCTGGGTCAGTGGATCAAGGAACTCCTTACTTGATTGGTTAAAAAGTATCAGTACAACTTCCTAAGGCAAGGAGTCCCATAATTTAAGTTCAGCTGGTTGTTTATTGCTGCAGAAAACTGAACTAGGGTGCCAGTGTAGGAGACCTACCGTTTGTGGATTGCTTTCCACTCTAATGGAACTCTTTTTGTTTGTCCTTTCATGCTTAAAAACCAGGGCTTCGTTCCCAGAGGTCTTCAAACTTGGCCCTTTTATGACTTGTGGATTTCAACTCCCAGAAGTCCTCAGCCAGCGTGCCTGGTTGAGGAATTCTGGGAGTTGAACTCCAGTTTGAAGACTCCTGGTTCAATGAGATCCCAGGTCCTCATAGGCTAGGCATGAAAGCTGGTTGGGTGACTTTGGGCCAATCACCAGGAGTCTATCAGTTCTAGTCCTGCCTTAGACGTGAAAACCGACTGGGTGACTCGGGGCCAATCATCTGAGTTCTAGTCCTGTCTTATGCATGAAAGCCAGCTAGGTGACTTTGGGTTGCATTCATCTCTCCCTCTCTCTCTCTCTCTCTCTCTCTCTCTCTCTCTCTCTCTCTCTCTCTCTCCCTCTCCCTCTCCCTCCCTCCCTCCCTCCCTCCCTCCCTCCCTCAAGCCAACCCATCTCACAGGGTTGTTGTTGAGGGCAAAATAGGAGGAGAAATAGGTATATTCATTGCCTTGATATAAAACAATAAAAGTGGGATAAAACCCAATAAATAAATAGTATAATATGATGCCAAGTTCCAAAGTTGATTCATATCAGAATCCCAAAGTCACCCAGTCGGCTTTTATGCCTAAGGCGGGACTAGAACTCACTGTCTCCTGGTGATTGGCTCAAAATCACCCAGGTGGCTTTGATGCCAAAGGCGGAATTAGAAAACATGGTCTCCTGGTGATTGGCCCAAAGTCACCCAGCCAGCTTTCATGCTTAAAAGTGGGACTAGAACTCACCACTTCCTGGTTTTTAGGCCACTAAGTGAGTTGTTTATGCATCACACGTTATGGTGAACCCAGTCTTGTGATTTACTGACTTGGGTTTAGATTTCAGACAGTTGTGTGAATGCAGACGGGCGGGAAAGATCCTTTGGTGCAGGAGAGCGTCAGAGAAACAGCTGCTACACTGTAGGCTGCAGTTCTCCAGCTGTGTATTCAGCTGCCCTAGAGGCAGACAGGCCTCATTCGAGTCCGTGAACAGCGACACAGATTTATTTGAAAGGAGAAGCCCCGCATCCGCCAAAATATGGCATAAATCTAGCACACCGGGGTGAACAATTTGTCAGCCTCTGACACAAACGACCGTCTGTCGAAGCCTATCTCTAAATTGCCAGAAGGGCTGAGCGCCTGGCCATCTCTGGCCTGCGGATTTAATTGCTCTGGAGTGAGTAAATCTCCTCCATGACCGTTGGCGGCTTTGTTGGGTTCTGTGCCGAAACAAAAGAAGGAAGAGTGTGTTTGTGTGTGTGTGTGTTGGGGGGGGGGGGTTCCTTGAAAAAACAAAGGTCGATGAAATCAGGTTACATGCTAGACTGGGAAAAAAGCAGTAAATGGAAAGTCTAGGAGAGGGGCTTTTTTCTGTCTTTAGGTCTGCAGCAAAGTAATAGTAGTAATAATAATAAAAATAATAATAATAATAATTAATAATGAGGAGGAGGAGGAGGAGGAGGAGGAAGAAGAAGAAGAAGAAGAAGAAGAAGAAGAAGAAGAAGAAGAAGAAGAAGAAGAAGAAGAAGAAGAAGAAGAAGAAGAAGAAGAAGAAGAAGAAGAAGAAGAAGAAGAAGAAGAAGAAGGAGAAGAAGATTGCACAGACTGATTACAAGCAGCGGCATGACAAAGTAGCAACAATGGTGCATTGGAAGATCTGCAAAAAATATCATTTGCCTGTAAGCAAAAACTGGAGGGATCATAAAATAGAGAAAGTCATAGAAAATGATAAAATTAAACTGCTCTGGGACTTCAGAATTCAACAGACAAGCACCTGCAACATAACACCCCAGACTTAACAATTGTCGATAAGAAAGACAAAAAAGTCTGGATAGTGGACGTGGCAGTGCCTGGAGACAGCAGAATATACGAGAAAGAACTGGAGAAGATAACAAAATACAAAGACCTACAAATAGAAATAGAAAGACTGTGGCAAAAGCAAGCAAGGGTAGTACCAATAGTAATAGGCTCCTTGGGTGCAATCCCAAAACAACTGGAGCACACTTGAACACCATTGGCATTGACAAATTTGCTATTAGTCAATTGCAAAAGGCGGCCTTACTAGGAACTGCTTCCATCCTGCGACGATATCTGTAATACCATCAAACATCCACATCTGCCTATCCCATGTCCTGGGTAAGGACTCGATAGGTAGACAAAATGCCAAATCCAGTCTGAACATCTGGCTGACTGTGCGATGATCAATAATAATAATAATAATAATAATAATAATAATTATTATTATTATTATTATTATTATTATTATTATTATTATTATTATTATTATATTAATGCCTGTGTTGTGTTATTGATTGCAGAGAGGGAGTTTCTGCTTCAGACATTTCTCCTGCCTCCCTCTAAAACTGGCAGACATCCTTGTCAATGTTCTGCCATTCATAAGTGATTTTTCCGGGCCTGCAAACCAAGTGTGCAAGCAAACAGTGTTCAGAACTCAAAAGGGTAGAGCCCCATCGATTCTCTGAGGGGGCAACACTGGACCAGCTTTATTCTTCTTCTTTATATATTTATTAGGGTTCTATACCAACTTTACTGCTAACTCAAGGTTCGCAAAGATTCATAGTACTCCTTCCACTTCCTCTTTTCCTGCAAATAACAACCTGTGAGTTGGTTTGGGCTGAGAGGGAGGGATTGGGCCAAAATCAGCCAGCCGGCTTTCATGCGTGAGGCAGGACTAGAACTCACCGTCTCCTGGCGATTGGCTCAAAGTCACCCAGCTGGCTTTCATGCCTGAGGTGGAACTAGAACTCACCGTCTCCTGGCGATTGGTTCAAAGTCACCCAACCAGTTTTCATGCCGAAGGCGGAACTAGATCTCATTGTCTCCTGGGGATTGGCTCAAAGTCACCCAGCTGGATTTCATGCCTGAGGCAGAACTAGAACTCACCGTCTCCTGGCGATTGGCTCAAAGTCACCCAGCCGGCTTTCATGCCTGAGGTGGAACTAGAACTCACTGTCTCCTGGCGATTGATTCAAAGTCACTCAGCCAACTTTCATGCCCAAGATGACACTAGAACTCACCACCTCCTGCTTTCTAAGCCAGCATCTTAAACCCAACACCAAATTAAACCCTTGGGGTTTTTTTTCCTGCGCAATGTTGGGGGGGGGAGTGACCAGTAGCTAGAAGCTGACAAATTATTGTTGCACTTTCTCTGCTCCACAGTGGCGGCAACTCACTTTGGCTTCTGCCCGAGCCTCCTGGAGCACACTGTATCGGCCGAGAATCTCAGTTACCGCCTGCAGAGGACTTCAGGCGGCAATCTCACCTGGCATGACGGGCGAAGCCAGAGGACAGCTGGCGGGAGACCTGTCAAACTCCTTCAGCAACCGGGGACTGAGAACTCCCAGGTAGGTTGACACTGGGCACATCTCCAGAAATAAACAAACCAACAAAGTGCTGAAGGTCTACGGAGATTCTCAGTCATCCAGATCAGGGTTGTCCCAAAGGTGTTTTTTTTCTACAGGCAACCGGACTTTCTTTTTTTTTCTTCGAAGATGTTTCACTTCTCATCCAAGAAGCTTCTTCTGTTCTGACTGAATGGTGGAGAGTGGAAGGATCTATATTCCTGGCAGTCATCTATAATAATAATAATAATAATAATAATAATAATAATAATAATAATGATGATGATGATGATGATGATGATGATGATGATAAAGTTGGAAGAGACCTTGGAGGTCATCTACTCCAACCCCCTGCTCAGGCAGGAAACCCTACACCATTTCAGATGAATGGCTGTCCAGTTTCTTCTTAAAAGCTTCCAGTGTTGGCGCATTCACTGCTTCTGGAGGCAGGTGGTTCCACTGGTTAATTGTCCTCACTATCAGGAAGTTTCTCCTTAATTCCAGGTTGCTTCACTCCTTGATTAGTTTCCATCCCTTGCTTCTTGTCCTGCCTTCTGGTGCTTTGGAGAATAGCTTGACTCCCTCTTCTTTGGGGCAGCCCCTGAGATATTGGAAGGCTGCTATCATGTCCCCCCTCGTCCTTCTCTTCTTTAAACTGGACCTACCCAGTTCCAGCAACCGTTCCTTATATGTTTTAGCCTCCAGTCTGGTCGTTTGTATTCTGTCTGAGAATTGTTGAGGCCACCTGGAGGTTCATCTGTCTCCTCAGGGTCACCTGAGTGGTGCAAATGGGTGTGGAGCCTTCTTGGAACTGCTGGAAGGATTGTGTGATAAACTGGAGATAGATGATGTCATATCCCTCCCCCCTGTTGAGAGAGGGCTGTCTCCAATCTACAACACAGTCCTTTCAGCACACTCATTTGCACCACTCAGGTGAGCCTGAGGATACAGATAAACCTCCAAGTGGCCTCAACAACTCTCTAAAAGATGCAAATGACCAGCTGTCTGCAAGGAGTATAAATCCTTCCGTTCCTCCACCATCCAGTCAGAACTGAAGAAGCTTCTGGGATGAGAAGCGAAACGTCTTCAAGGAAAAACAAGAAAGTCCAGTTGCCTCCTGAAAAAAGCACCTTTGGGACAAATAGAGTACTGCAGTGGCTGCCATGGAGCTACCAGATCAGTAAGTCTTGAAAATATTGGCAGCACTTAGCAGTCTGTGTCATTTGCAGCAAACTTTTGGAAGTGTCTAATTTGAGTTTTGGGCTGGACAAGTCTGCTGACCAGGCCACATGTCGCCCCAGACCAGGGGTAGGCAACCTTGGCTCTTTTGTGACTCGTGGACTTCAACTCCCAGAATTCCTGAGCCAGCATGGCTCAGCTTGGAAACCTCTCCCTTTCCCCTCAGCGTGGCTGGCTCAGGAATTCTGGGAGTTGAAGTCCACGAGTCATAAAAGAGCCAAGGTTGCCTACCCCTGGCCTAGGCCTAGGCCGCTTTATGACTCGTGGACTTCAACTCCCAGAATTCCTGAGCCAGCATGGCTCAGCTTGGAAACCTCTCCCTTTCCCCTCAGCATGGCTGGCTCAGGAATTCTGGGAGTTGAAGTCCACGAGTCATAAAAGAGCCAAGGTTGCCTACCCCTGGTCTAAACCCAACATTGGGTCTTTCAGTGGCATCCTAGGACAGAGGTAGGCAACCTTGGCTCTTTTATGACTCGTGGACTTCAACTCCCAGAATTCCTGAACCAGCATGGGGGAACTATGGCCCTGTCATGACTTGTGGACTTCAACTCCCAGAATTTCTGAGCCAGCGTGGCTCAGCTTGGAAACCTCTCCCTTTCCCCTCAGCGTGGCTGGCTCAGGAATTCTGGGAGTTGAAGTCCACAAGTCATAAAAGAGCCAAGGTTGCCTACCCCTGCCCCAGACTGTCAGTTGCTCAGGCCTGCCATAGAGAATGATCTCCATGTGAGTCAAACATGACCTCCTGCCTAGATCTGAGCGAGCGAGTGTGCAACACACGTTCCAAAGGTGCTTTTTCAAAAGGCAATTGTTTGATAGGGAGAGGAGAGAAATGAATTCAGACTTTTTTGGGGGGGGGCAATTTGCAAAAAAATAAATATATCTGTCTCTAGAAAATTGCTGGTGATGCCGGCTACTTATAACTCTGTGACAAAAGGAATTCTGGAGAATGCCGTTTTCTTTCCGGAGGAGATGCTGTCACTCTTGGGCACAGATTGCTTAGATCAGTTTCCAATTTGCCTTTGGACATAAGCCGTGAACGCCGTCCGTGCAAGCTGCATTTTGCTCCAGTTTCACAAATCAGGATTAGTCAGATCCAGCCTGCTGTGAACGGCCAAGATTTAAAGGGAAAAGTTATCACAGAGCAGACAAAGGAGTATAAAAAGAATGAATTAATAGTACACAATGGAGAATAATGGATTACAGTTAGTCCTTGTTTAGCAACCACAGTTAGGACCAGCCACTCGGTCGTTAAGCAAAGCAGCCAGTAAGTGACACCATGTCTGTGCTTCTGATCTTCCTTCAACTTCCCTATTTGTTTTACAGACCTGCAAAAATCATAAATACAAGAATTGGTCATGAAATTACTTTTTCAGCACCATCATAACTGAACAGCCGTTAAAAGGGGCAGTCACTAAATGAGGACTCCCTGTAAAGTTACAAAAAAATCAGATTCTAATTAATAGCTAAGGATAAATTTCCTAAACTTTCTTAACCACCTCAAAATGAGATTAGCAGCAACTATAACAACATGTATGCGCTTGCTTATAAAAATGTTGAATTAGGTAAAATTGTCTTTTTTTTTTTTTAAGAGGTTCAGTTCTGAGATTGGAAGATTAACTCATGTAGTTTGGTCTTCTCCTATTAGGGTCATATTCTGGGGGACCCTTCATGTGATTTGAATCCTTTGCTGTGGATTAAAGATATACATGCTTGTTTTGGCTGCACCTGCAGCATTTGGAATTTATCATATTTTGAAAAATGGTGGGTATTTTGAAAACAGCCATTGACTAAAGGCAATTATCACCCTGGTCAACACCAGATTTCCAGCAGTGGGTTGTTGATGGAGACATTAGAGAATATGTTTCTCAAACTTGGCAACTTCAATATGTGTGAACTTCAACTCCCAGAATCCCTCATATTAGGGGTGGGCAACTATGGCATATTTATGACCTGTGGACTTCAACTCCCAGAATCCTTCATAGTAAGGGTTGGGAATTCTGGGAGTTGAAGTCCACAGGTCATAAAGATGGCATAGCTGCCCACCCCTGCTATACAGGAAGCCCATTACTGTTTTAGTTGCCTTTTTATAGCATAATTACTCCAGCCTCCTTTTAAAATTATTATTATAACTAAGTTTGCAGCGTATATCATTAGCTCTGTTTCACATAAGTCTACTTTTACTTTGTTCATTGGTTTAAACACAGTAAAAAATATTTTTTAAAAAAAATAAAACACAAAACATAAAGCAATATTATCCTAAGGCTAACTGCCGCTTGACAGTGAACACAAAAACAAAATCTGCAACAGCTGTGAATGAAGGTGACTTACACGCTCGCTTGCAATTCTGCAATTCGCTTGAATTGCAACATTTGCATAATGACATCGTCATTATTGTTGTCTCCCTGCCTTCCTCCCTCCACTGCAGATATGCAGAACTTTTGAGAAAGGTCTTCAGAAGAGAAATAGTTTGGCATCTGCTGGCAATGCTTTTAGCTCGGCCCCTACCCAGCTAGATTTCTCCCAAATCTGTGCAATGGGTTGCGCACAACCCATTTAACCTACAGGTAGACCTCGACTTTAGTGCATGTTCAGTTACAACGACACTTGACTTACTTTGCAACCTCATCAACCTTAGTGATCTTCAGTCATCCGAGTCATGGTTATCCCAAAGGTGCTTTTTCACGAGGCAACTGGACTTTCTTGTTTTTCCTTTGAAGACATTTCGCTTCTCATCCCAGAAGCTTCTTCAGCTCTGACCGGATGGTGGGGAAGGGAAGGATTTATACTCCTTGCAGACAGCTGGTCATTTGCATCCTTTTAGAGAGTCGTTGAGGCCACTTGGAGGTTTATCTGTGTCCTCAGGCTCACCTGAGTGGTGCAAATGGGTGTGGAGCCTTGTTGGAACTGCTGAAAGGTCTGTGTTGTAGATTGGAGATAGAGGATGTTGTATCCTTCCCACTCTGTTCAGAAAGAGCTGTTCAGCTTTGAGACAGATGGCCTCTTTGACCCCTCTTTCAAACCGGCCAGTCCTCTTTGTCCAAAATCTTTCCATTCCCCACCATCCAGTCAGAGTTGAAGAAGCTTCTTGGATGAGAAGTGAAATGTCTTCAAAGAAAACAAGAAAGTCTAGTTGCCTCGTGGAAAATGATCTTTGGGCTGAAGGAAAATAATAATAATAATGATGATGATGATGATGATGGAAGGGATCTTGGAGGTCATCTAGTCCAGGGCTTTTCAACCTTTTCACCCATTGTACCACTTTTAGGATATGAGAACATCCGAGTACCACCAGTCGCCTAGCAAGGTGTCAAAAACTTGATGACAAAAAAAGGGGGGGGACTGATAAAGTACACGTAGTCCTCGACTTACAACAGTTTGCTTACTGACTGTTCAAAGTTGCAATGGCACTGAAAAAAGTGCCCCCCAAGCCACAGCCGAGCAAACACCTGCCTGCCCACCCAGCAGCGCTCTTCCTCCTGTCCAAGGTTTTCATTGTTGTGAGCATTTCTGTTGAGGATTGGCAGCGGGGGTGAGGTGGGGGGATGTTTGGTTTTTATTCCCCCCGTCTGCTGGGTGGTT